GAGGATCGGCCATTTTCCTTCGACAGCCCTCTAGGAGGAGAGGTGCCCAATGGACAGGGAAGAGAGCTCCCTGAGGAGAGAGGCGGGGGGCGGGGGGCGGGCTCCCCTCAGTCAGAGAGGGCGCTCCTCGAGGAGAAACTCAGCGGGGATGGCAGCTGAGTGTTTCAGAAGGAGGGGCAGATCTCTCCGAGGAGAAGTGCGCTGGCTGGCTCTCCACCTCAGAGAGAGACCGTGCCCTGAGGAGAAAGGCCAGGTTGGCGGTGCTCTACCTCAGAAGAGGAGAGGGCCCCTTGTGAGGAGAAATCCCGAATGGCCAGCCTTGTTTCTCAGACGGAGAGAAAGCGCTCTGAGGAGGAAAGACAGCTCCCCTTTTCAGACAGACAGACAGACAGAACCTCTATGAGGCGAAAGGCTGCATGCTTCCCTTCTGCCCTGTGAGAGATTCACTGCTTCCTCTGGTGAAGGGTTGTACGCCCTGCCTCTCTTCAGGGAGAGAGCACACACTGCTGGGGACTGTGAATGTTCAGCGGCTTCTAGGCCCTGTTTGTCAGGGAGGGAAACAGGGGGCGGCAGGAGGAGTCCTTGATAGCCCCCACATTTGGGGGGCCGTCTTGCCAGACGCCATCTGCTGAGGAGAGACGCCAGGTGGGCGACACCCCATTTCAGACAGAGAGAGCATTCCCTGAGGAGAAACGTGGGATCCTGGGCCTTGACCTCAGAGAGGTCAGCAGCTCTCTTTGCAGACAAGGCCTGGTGGCTTGTCTTAACTTGTCTTAAAGTTAAGAGCTTTCTCTTAACTTCCTGTCTTTCTTTTTGTCTTTTCTCCTTCTTCTTCTGCCTCTGAAATGTACTGGACTTGAGCTACAAGCTCGAGACAGATGGTGGACAGGCCTCAGGCCCTGGGCTTCCAAGGGCGCATCGGGCAAGCAGAGGAGCGTGGCTGCCGGCAGGGGATGGTGTTCGCCCCACGTGTCCTCGGGCAGCGCAGCAGGGGTCCCAGGTCACTTGGGGGGCGCTGTGCCGTGTCCCAGCAAGTGCTGTGTCAGCCAAGGCCTGAAGGGCAAAGACTGGACGTGGGTGAGCATTGCCAGGGCCTCGGAAACAGAATGTACAAAATCCAGGAGGTAAAAGATCAAAGGAAGTCCCAAAGCTTAAGGCCACTTGGGCGGGTTGGAGCTTAGCAAGGGGACAGCTGAAGCTGGGGTCACCCGGGTTTTGGTGTGAGGGGTCTCGTAGTCCGTGTTGGAGCGGCTCAGGGCCCCACATGAGGACAGGCAACAGCCCTTGGAGACTTTGGGGCAGAAGTGAGGGTCGGGGCCTCGGAAGGTCTGGTCTGGCTGCAGACTCCCGAGTTTGGAGGATCCTTATTTCACCCCCAAGAGAGGGATGTAGCCCGGGACCATGGGTGGATTTCTGAGCTTCCGGGGCCTTGGTTTCCCTGACTCCTCCACACGTGATCGGGCTCTACTAGGTTCTTTCGGAGGCGATGGCATCATTTGCGTTTCGTGGAGGCGGGTTCTGTCCCAGAAGAGGACGTTGACAGGCTGTGCTAGTGCAACATGATCGTCAACGTGTACGGCCTGTGGCCCACTTTGGAGGGTTTTCGTGTTGCTTTGTTAAAATTCCATCGCGGCCTTTTCCTAATGCATCGCCTCCGAGGCCGGCGTGGGTTTCAGAAGGCAGAGGATTGCTCTGGAAGCGTGAGCGGGCGGGGCTTGGCCCGAGCGATGGTCCGTGGTATTAGCACAGTCACCTCCACAGCACGCGGTTGTCGCAGGGTAGGACCTGGTGGCGACGATCTCCTTCAGAGGCAGGTGAGGGAGCAAGCTTGTCACCTCTCTCTGCAGTTTACCTGTGTTCAAAGACCCCAAGACATGGGGAGGGCAAACACGTTCGTCTGAAGAGTCCAGATGAACCTGACAAAGATTATCGACATTGAACTCGGCTGAGGGACTGTTTCACCCTTGAGGGGTTTAAAAATCCACTCAGGCTATAATTGTACAGGGAAAGACCTTGTGTAAATGGGTCCGTGTGTATGCATGTCTGTATTCTGATCACTAAATTACTCCACCCACTGGTATTCAAATGTGATGTGTACTATTTCCACGTTGAAAAGCAATCTCAAATCATTCTATGTCTTACTTGAATCGAGAAGTTTCCACCATTAACTAACAAAATTAGTCACCAGTAGAGGCCCAATGCTCTATCATTCACAAGGAATTTGAACTCAGCGGATACAAATATATGCCCACATTTCAAATGAGGAGCCTGACAGGCATGACGGTTGCAGGACTGGAATTGGGGGTTTTGACTCCTCAGTCAAGAGTCTTTCCATGACAGTGTGCTCCTTATCGGGAGATGGTTTTGTTGGCCCCTTTTCCGTCTACGATTCTGTGTCTGAGGGGCAGGGCCAGGCAGGTGAATACTTGTCGTGGAGACTCAGGGTCCAGGAGGGCTCTTCAGGGCTTCTCCCAGCCTTGTTTCTCTAGTTCTGCTGCCTACGGTGGGGGAGCAGGGAGCCCCCGAAAATGAATGGGTCACGTGCTCGGCTTTGAGGCTATGTAATAGGGCAGAGCTAGTAAGGTCTTTGTCCCACTTTCTGACCAGTTGTGAGAGAAAAGAGGGGGATGCAGGCTTTAGGCTGTGATAGGGATGCAGCAATCGTCACAGTGTGGTGTCCCCAGTCCCCTGGTGGCTCCCACGTCCTGTCCTTGGGGCAGAAAGGACAGCAGTGGTAGATTGAAGATTGGTGTTTGAGGCTTGGATTAATTTATTCATTTCTTCACCTCTTTCACACTGACTGTGCTTGGCTGGTCACTAAAGTTCCATAGAGGAGTAAGACCCAGACCTGTCCTGAGGCTTTCACAGGCCAGCAAGGAAGTAGCCATGTAAATAAGTAACAGCAGCACAGTGACAGATCCTAACATGGGGGGCACCGAAGAGCCTGTGGGGGCACAGAGCTCCAGCAATAGATTCCTCTGTGCAGTGTGCAGGGGGTGGGGCCGGGAGGGTCCTGAGTGGAGGGACACTGGAGCCCGCTGGAGTGGAGGGAAGGACTGCTCTGTCCTTCCTAGCTGCTACTGGCCATCTCAGAAGAGGAAGCTGAGTCTTTGAGAGGCACAGTGGGAGATAATTATACTTAGCTCAGAAAAGGGAGCCATGGGGGATGTATAAAGACTTTCCAGGTATGAACACTGGACCCCTGTGGGACCCAGTTGGGCCCCTCTGTCTCTCACCGGCTGCCTGGGGCCCAGGATCTCGCCACCAGGAACAGTCCAGGCCCTCCTGGGGCCAGTAGAGGGTCCCGGCTCCCAGCTCCACTTCCACCCAGAGAAGAGACTAGCCAGAATCCCAGGCATGCCCCTGCCCCACTGCCCCGGCCCCAGCTATCCCTGATCACCGATGAGGCACTGATTCTACACCCACATGCTAAGCTGTCATGGCTCTCAGAGGTCTAGACCAGCTACCTCATTTTATTTTTGAGGAAACTAAGGTCAAGTGAAGGGACTAGAGGCAGAACCAGACACAGGTTCCCCAGTATTCTGGGCCCTGGCCCATTCCTTTGTGTGTGTGTTTGTTTTTTTAGTCGTTAGTGGACAGAGAGATGGCCCATGGAATGACAGGACTCTTGGCTGAGTATGTGTCTGCCTGTCCTGAAGCACGAAGACCTGTCGTGTTTCACTTGGGAGCAAAAGCTAAGCCTGTTTCAAATCCCTTCCCAGGCAGGCATTCCCTCCAAGGCCGGCACTGCTCCTCCGTCCTTTGAAGGGACGACAAAGGGCTCCACAGAGATGCCTGTGATTAAGAGAGACTCCACTCCATGCAGCCCCACGCGTCTGTCTGATTCCATTTAGAAAACAGCCATGAGTAAGTTTAGGAGAGCCTGGGGAGAGGCCGAGGCATTATACCAAATGTTCATTGAAACCTGAGCTGGGAATCAAGACGGGAACCAGAAGGAGATTTTCTTGGTGACTCTTAAAGTAAGTTCAGCTTATCTGTGAGCAAACTGGACTCGGGCAGTGAACAGAAATACAGAAAGAAGGTATCTTACCACGCTCTGTAATTAGCCTAGAAAGAGCTTGGCTCCTGGTCTCCGACATCAGGACATTTGCTTTTATTATTCTTTTACATTTCTTACTTGTAATGAATGTTCATTGCTCTTTGCATGACTGGTTCGACGATATGGTATGAGTGACAACTTCCAGCAGGATTTGGAGAAACGCAAAGGACCACGGGCTGAAGCGGCAAGGAATCTTCACAAATGAGAGCCCTGCCTTGCTTTGTTCACTCAGATATATGTTCTTCAGAGGTAACATAGAACAATGGGCACTTGATTGGTCAGATATGCCAGGAATCCACTTACGAACTGCTCACCTGGGGAAGTTCACTTAGCCTTCTGATTTTCATTTCCTTTCCATCCCTAAAATGGAACTGCTTCAACCTGACTATATTCTCCATTAGATTGTGTTAATTAGCTGAGATAACCTAAGACTAAATGTTTGAAAATTAAAAAAAATCCTATTTACATGTGACTTATTGTTATTATTTCTTGAGGAGTCTATGGAAAGGGGACAAGGTACATTATAGTCTGGGAATAAGTAGGATGAAGCTGGGATTGGGTTTGATGAGAGGAAAGATGTCATTTGGTGGAAAAGAGACCAGTAGATTGGCTGCATTTCTGTCTCTCTGAAGATGAGATCAGCTTGGTTTCTGGTCTACCCTATTTGTGGGTAGGTAAGAGACAGTCCCTGGACCAGGGAAAGGAGGTGGATATTATAAAATTCTGAGACTCTTTTTTTTTTTTTTTTTTTTATGCGGTACGTGGGCCTCTCACCACTGTGGCCCCTCCTGTTGCGGAGCACAGACTCCGGACGCGCAGGCTCAGCGGCCATGGCTCACGGGCCCAGCCGCTCCGCGGCAAGTGGGATCCTCCCAGACCGGGGCACGAACCCGTGTCCCCTATATCGGCAGGCGGACTCTCAACCACTGCACCACCAGGGAAGCCCCTCTGAGACTCTTTAAAAAAAAAAAAACAGAAAAAGACAAAGTAGGTAAGCTTTTAGGGAAAATCTTTTATAAGACCTTCACCACTGGTGCTGGAGTCATTCAACAAATATTTATTGAGCACCTACTACAAGCCACACATTCTTCTAAGACCTTAGGATACCTCAAGATCCCATCTGCCTTCTGGAAGCTTACATTTTAGGTGCTAGATCCACCATCCATCTCTGGTTTATTTTATTTATTTTTTTCTTCCTCTGTATGTGGTATGCAGCACCTATTCCAGGGATCGGAGCAGATTTCAGCTTTTTTCTCACCAGAATAGCAGAAAAAAAGTCTGCAGGTTCCATGTTGCATAAGACAGATAACATTTCTAATTGCAGGTGGAATGTCCCCTATTGATACACTAAATTAGAGCTGATGTTTAGTTCATATAGCAAAAGAATAAAGCATGACCCCAGCCCACAGGCCAGCTCCACACGGTTATTATACGCTTAAAAAAATGAAGTGTCTGGACAGGTTCCAGTTTAACTGGGCTTCAGTTTCTTAGCTTTAAAACAGGGACAATAATCCATATCTCAAAATTTTGTCAGGAAGATATATATAATACATATATTTTTATATGTTATTGTACTGTATCAGGCTTCTCAAGCTTCCTGGTGATGGATGTGAGCTAATGCAACAGGGAGAAGCAGAGAGAGTTTTGGAGAACAGAGTCGAATGATTGGATGGGTGGGTCTTGGTCTCTAGGGAAATAGGAAATCGTTCTGATTCTCAGCTTGTGGCCTAATTTTCAGCTTTACAGCCTACAGTGAAAAAAGAAAAGAAAACCGAGCTCTCCTCACCATAACTTGTGGACTTGTAGGTCAAGCACAACTACCCAACGTTCCCATAAGGAAAGCATTTTCTATTTGTCACAAGAAAAAAAAAATGGAGCTACATGTGGTGATGGCTGTTGGCTAGACTTCTTATGGTAATTATTTTGCAATATCTACAAATATTGAATCATTATGTTGTACACCTGAAACTAATGTAATATCATATGTTGATTATATCTCAATTTTAAAAAAGAAAGCATTTTCTATTTGGGAATGAGATGGTTGAAAGAAAGGTCTCATGTCAGGTCTGCAAATGCCAATCTATCGTGACTCAGAAAACCAAAACACCCACCGTGTTGGTCTTACATGATTTAAAAAACAACCTTGCGCGATATCTCAGCTCCAAATGGGGTGTACTCTCTGAAGCCATGTCATCTCAGCTCTGTCATGGCTTTTTGGGGAGGACAGCCGAGTGAAGAGATGGGCTGCGCATCTAATGAAGATCAAAGAAGCACAGACTAGGGATCTGGAGACCTGGATTGGCTTTCCTTCTACCGGTAACTAATGATTTCTCCTTGAACAACTCATTTCCCTGGCTATGGCTCAGTTTTCCTCTGTAAAATCGGCTCTCTGTGAAAGCTGGAGGAATGCTAGTGTCAGGCTGAATAACTGCTATGACTGTGATTGTCAATTGCACCGCAGGACAGTGGCGTTTCTTGGGAGCGTGGTTTCCTCTCTCTGTAAAGTGTGGGGTTTCCATAGAAGAGCATTCATTCCCTTCCAGCTCTGACATCTGTATGACTGTCATTTCTTTCCGCAAACTTTTCTCAGACTGTGATGAATGCTTTCTATTTGTATCGGAACAAAGATGACCCTTTGACTTGGGTTATGACCCTGAAAACTCATACTTAGCTTTTAAAAACCTCTTTATAGGGAAGATCAAAATGGTCCAGAGCTGAGCCCCAAAGGGGTCCACCTGCACCCACCAACAACACACAGATACACATCCAATCCCCCCTCCACGGACACACAAATCAATGAAATTCCTGTACTGCCTTCCCTAGGCTCTCCCAGCTCATCCCTCCTGGCTGGGAGCAGCTTCCTACCTTAACCAGGAGATATTTACCTGAGTTCATCTGGACCAAACAGAAGAGAACAGCGAACAGAAAGAGGACCTTCATGTTTTAAGGTTCCCTCAGGTCTCCCCGCCCTCCTGTGCAGAAAAGCAAATCTGATGAGAGAGCCAAGTGGAGTGGAGAGGAGAGGGACAAAAATAGGACATTTATAGGTTTTGGGGAACACTACTCAGGAATGAGCACATTTATCTGGTCTACTGACTAAGGCTGTGGGCAGAAGTTACTCAGATACCTGGATTCCTTGACCCCAAATCCTATACAGTCCTAGCTCCTTAATCTGTGTCCAGTTCCCACAGATTTGACAGGAGTGAGCTGAGCTCAGGTTACATGATCGCAACCCTGGAGAGCTGGAGGACCAATGGGCGGGGCTTCCCACCTCTTCCCCCATATGAGCCCCAAGGTGTTCACTGTTCCCCTGCCTAAGAGAATGTTAGCTTCTAGAAGTTAAATCCACTTGAGTCCATATATCTAATATTAAAAACAAACAAACTTAAAAGTTGAAGAAACTTGTATTAGTCACAGGAGAACCAGATGGGTTTTTCTATGGAAATAATCTTTTGAGAAATTGCTGCAGCATGAATAGCTGGAATTCAGTCTTGCCAAATTCCCTCCAGCGTGAACTTCAGAATTTTCAAAGAAAATAGAAGAGATTTTAACTCACATATTTCACATTAAAAATATTAAGGGTATAAATGAGGCAACTGAAATTTGAAAATACAGTTTTACTATGCTTTCTGATGTTCACATGAGAGAACAGATATTCCAGTCAAAGGTATCTGGGAGTAATAAAAATTGATTTTTCACTAGTTAAAAGCAAAATCCACATATCTCCTAAAAAGCACACTTTTTACAAGCCTCATTATCCATACTTGACACAAAGCATTCAGAAATAGAAAATTAAGGGACTTCCCTGGTGGCACAGTGGTAAAGACTCTGTCTTCCAATGCAGGGGATGCCACAACTACTGAGCTCGCGTGCCTCAACTAGAGAGCCCACGCCGCAATGAATGGTCCCGCATGCTGCAACTAAGACCCAACGCAGCCAAAAATAACAATAAATAAATAAATATTTAAAATAAAATATCTCATTTTTCAAATTAAAAATACTTTCAAAACAATAAATAAAAAATACTTTCAGGTAACTGCGGTAATAAAGAAAACTCTGAAATTACAATATATTAAGACAATAACGACTTAAGCAATGTGTAGGATGTCATTCACGTCTCAAAGGTATCACAGGACTCACAGGACACGCTCCCAAAAGGGATTTTTGACTTAAATCATTTTCTATTTTTTGAGAAGGAAAGGTCTCCGCATTCAGCACAAGTGGCCTCCCAACTCTAAGCTTTTACCTTGAAGCACCGTCAACATCTAACTTGAAGGAAGGCGTGCGCACCGCCCCTCGCCAGACGCGGGACGCCCTCCCGCCCACGCGGAGAGTCAGCTTTCGTGAGCGTCTGTACCCACTGATCACTGACCGGAAACTCCCTGGGGGCGGGGCGGAGGGCGCAGGTCACGGCCCCACGCAAGCCCCTCCTCCCTGGCCCCGACCCCCGATCTCGCAATTTCCGGCCGAGCCGGAAGCAGCTCTTCTGGCCCGAAGGCCCGTTACCTGGCGTGTGTTTCACTATTTCTCGTTCAAACTCTCTCGTGGATGCCCTCAGCGCCGCGTCCTCCACACCCGGAGTCCCGGGCCCCTCGACCGCTACCGTCCCCGCCCGCGGGGAGCCCCGCCTAGTCGGGGGGAGCTCTGCTGCCGGGGCCGGACCTGAATCTGTTCCGGTAAAATCGCTGCGCGGCTGGTCCTCGCCCAACCTTTCTGCCCCGGTTCTTTTCACCGTCTCCGCTCCCCACCCCGCGCCTTGTCAGGTCCCTCTCGGTGTGTATTCTCCGGCCTTCGAGGGCGGCGTCGGGCCGTCCCGCCTCCTCCCGACCCTGCGTCCTGCAGCCCCCTGTCCTCTCCTGAATCTGCGTCCCCATCCTGGCTCCATTCTGGGGCCCAGCCCTGCCGCTCTCCAGGCGTTCCCGTCACAGTCACCTCTTCAGAGAGGCCCCTGAGTCCAGCGCTGGGGGCGTTCACCCGTCCCCGCCCCGTGACACCCCGCGGTCTCGAATCCCATCCCACCCGGCCGTGCCTGCAGGGTGTGTTTACATTCCCGGGGCCGCCCTGGAAAGCGTGCTCTTGCTGTGCAGGGGCTGCTGCATTCAATTCCTGCGACTGCAGAGGTGCGGCAGGGGGATGACGAGAAAGGAGCGAGATCAAGGGAGAACCAGGGAGACAGAGTGAGATAGTAAAAGCAGGGGTGAATTGAGGTTGGGGGAGTGGGTCTCATGGGCTTGAAAAGACCCGCTAAGAGTGAAGGAGAATGACCTGGGCAGCAGGGGAATAAATGAAAATAGACCAAAAGAGGATCAGCAGAGATGGAAGAGGGCAGAGACGGGGAGGGAGTTACGAGCACCAGTAGCGGCGGGGGCAAGAGAAAGGTAGATCCCGGATTCATTAGTTGTGTTTTTAAATTTCCAGCTTACAGTCCCGTTTACAGGTATTGTGTCAGATTCCGATGATGAGGTCTCAGTGGTTTTCCAGTCTTCATCACATGTTGAAAATATTCTTCAGTGCTTAGCAAGTAATTTTACACTATTTCAGTGTGTTCTTACTAAGGATATCGGTAATTTTCTATGTCAACAGTCAAAACCAAATTAACCACTTAGTCTGATATTCAACATCTTTATCCCCTTTTATGAGCTTTTAACTTAGTGGGCTGTGAACTGAAGTTTCCAGCCAAGTATATATTCCCTTTGTCGTGTCTCTGAAAGTGATCAAGGGTGAGCTGGATTGTCCTCAGAAGTAGTTGGAAGAGAGCCCTTCTGTTCCTGGTGAATAAATCGCTGAGCTGTTTCCATTGCTGACCTCCTTTCATGTTTTCCAGTGCTACCAATTAGGTCTTCTTAAGATCATAAATTTCTTTTTATATTTTATTTTTGGCTGCGTTGGGTCTTCATTGCTGCACGTGGGCTTTCTCTAGTTGCGGCGAGCGGGGGCTGCTCTTCGTTGCCATGCGCAGGCTTCTCATTGCGGTGGTTTCTCGTTGCAGAGCACGGGCTCTAGGCACACGGGCTTCAGTAGTTGTGGCACACGGGCTCAGTAGTTGCGGCACATGGGCCCTAGAATGTGCGGGCTTCAGTAGTTGTGGCTCGCCGGCTCTAGAGTGCAGGCTCAGTAGCTGTGGCTCACGGGCTTAGTTGCTCCGTGGCATGTGGGATCTTCCCGGACCAGGGCTTGAACCCGTGTCCCCTGCATTGGCAGGCAGACTCTCAACCGCTGCGCCACCAGGGAAGCCCCGTGTCATTTTTTGATGGTTTTAATATGATGTTCTTCTGGAAAAGAGGAGTCAAATACTTGAGATTATTGTGATTAAAATCGTGAAAGGAAGTGGCTCTTGCTGAGGGATAGGAAATGTGATTTTTAGAGGCAGGCAGGGGTGAGAGGGCAAACCCTGCACAGTCTCATCCAGGCCGTGTCATTCCCGTGAGGACAGACCTGGTTCCTCTCCGCCGGCCTTTCCTGCTGACCCCCTTGCCTGCTCCAACCCAGCAGGGGGTCACGAGGCCACTCGACAAGGGAGGGCCCGGACTTCACAAACTAAGCGAAGATCAAAAGTCTCTCTCCAGGGGCTTCCCTGGTGGCGCAGTGGTTGAGAGTCCGCCTGCCGATGCAGGGGACACGGGTTCGTGCCCTGGTCTGGGAAGATCCCACGTGCCGCGGAGCGGCTGGGCCCGTGAGCCATGGCCACTGAGCCTGCGCTTCCGGAGCCTGTGCTCTGCAACGGGAGAGGCCACAGCAGTAAGAGGCCCGCGTACAGCAAAAAAACAAAAAAAACAAAAAAAAAAAGTCTCTCTCCAGTGAGGCGGGAGAAGAGGGCACTTGATTCTGAAGGGAGCCGGAAGAAAGAGCAAGAATGCTGTCGAGGGCCAAGGAGCCGGGGATGGGAGGGAGACTGAGAAGCTCGGGAACAAGAGGAAGGGGAACGTCTTCCCGTCCTCACCCGAGGTGACCCTGTGCTCAGCAGGTACGGAGGAGACCGTGGGGGCGCTCACAGTCACTGCTGGCACGGAGTGCGTGGGCTTCCGTAGGATGGGAGGGCGTTCTGAGAAAATGGGCAGAAAAACCCGTCTGCCCGTCTCCTGTTTAACGCTTCTGAGTCCCTGTGGTTTCACTGGCCGCAGGGGACGGTGTTTGCCACTTAGTGAGTCCCTTCCTGTGTGTGGCTGAGGCGTAGGGAGCGGGTATGAGAGGCACACCCTCCACACCGAGGGAGGATCTCAAGGCTGATGTTGGCTGGGAAAGAAGCTTTCCGCGTGTCTTTATTAATTCCTTGATTTGACCGTCAGAACTTTCATTGATTTCTGTCAAATAATCTGTTTCTCCGTTTTCGTCTTTAATATTTTATTTAAGCTTTTGTTTCTTTTAACTTTATCTTCTTAATTTGTAACAATTTGAAATGTCAACTCACTCTTGTTTCCTTTTACTTTCTCTTGGTTTATAAAGTTGAACAAGCCCTCTCTGCTTCTATTAAGTGTATTTAAAGTTAAACACTTTTTCCAGGTAACAACTGTGGCCCTATTCTATGGAGTTGATGTGTTCATTCTTCATGGTGATGATGACTCGAATTGGCAATGGTCATTCGATTGTATTGTAACCCTGTTGTTTAAACTGTCATTGTCTTTCAGATTGTTAGTTTTGTTTGTACTACCTGATTATTGTTTATTTTCATTTTCATTTTACTGTGGTAAGCATATGTGGCCTATTTGATCTATTCTCTTTTGCATTTAGCTAAAACTTTCTCTGTGGCTAATTACAAAGTCAAATTTGATGCGTGCACTGGAGGTACTGAAGTCTCTACGTTGGAATAAGTGGGGATAAAAAGTCTCTACATTTTGGATGTACACGCATGTTCACACACGTTCATTAAAGTATGTGTGTATGTGTCTTCCAGGGAATCTGGCCTCCTGGGAAGAAGGCCAGACTCAGGGACCATGCCCTGCCCACTAGCCCTCCAAAGCTCCACCTACTCTGAACAATAAGACTAGAGCACTTTCTCAGCCCCCTCTCGCTGCACCTTCTGCCACTGCCCCACCCTACAGCCTAGAGGTATGTATCGTTACTTTGGGATCTTGCCTCTGAGCCTGGGACAGTAGGTGGACAACTGGATGGTCCCTCCCTGCCCTCCTGTGCTTACAGGACTGTAGCGCAGCGTGAGCAGTTGCCTGGTTCTGGGCACACTCACAAAATACCGCACAGCCTCCAGGCAGCAAGGACCTCCTCTTTAGCTTTCCACGCGTGTTCTCTTGCACCTGTTCCAGGGCTTCCGAGGGGTCTTAGGAAGTTGTTCATTGAGCCTGGCCAGCCATGGACTCCCTCCCCAGGCCTTGCAGGCAGGCTCAAATGGTTGCTGGTCCCCAAGATGACTTAGAATGTTTTCTAGAGGCTCAGGCAGGCCAGAATGTCGTCGTCTAGTCTCTCCTGTCAAAGTGGCCACTCCAGGCCTCCTGAGACAAACTTGGGAAATTTGTGGACACTCGTTTCTGGAAAGGGCATTGGGAATGACTTGAAAGCATCTGTGTGTTTGTATTTTGTGGAACCCTCTGTAGTCCGCTTCAGTAAACTCGATACCCTGCGTGGATAGAGAAAGCTGATTCAGTGTTTTTTAACAAGAGTGATAAATCATAATTGTTGTAATAAGTACAATCACGGTGATTAACATCAATAATGATAATGGTCTTTATGACAAGAGCAATAATAAGAAGAAACTGAAGGAGATGGGAGAATAGACTACAGACCTCAGTGAATGAGTGATCAGATACCCAGTAGGACTTGGGGTGGTTCGAATCAGAGTCCTAGGTCTGCTCCTTGAAACGTGTTCTCTGAAGGTGAAGGACAAGCAGCAAAAGAGAAAAAGAAACACCGGAAGTGGGGCATAGGTGAAAGCAAGGGCCCCTAGGAGATCATCTGCAGGTGAGACTTTCCAGGAAGAGAGGAGCCCAGGTCCAGGGCCTCCCTGCCGCCCCATCCCATCCCCTGGACGTCTGGCAGGAGTGGGGGTCTCCCTGGAAGGCAGGGATCCCTGCTTCCCTACGAGGAACGTTAAGGCCCAGCACTCTCAGCCCTGAGTTCTGGCTGCCTGTCTGCCATCTGCTCTTCCTGGGTCCTTCAGTATCTGTGCACCTCTGTTCCAGTATCTCTGCCTGGGGCTGCTGGAAGGTGTCATCTCCCTTCCTCTGGCTGGCAGGAAGCCTGGGAATAAAACACCAGATGAAAAAGGGGGCAATAATTATGAACAAATCAGAGGATGGGAAAGATTTTTAATCATATGAGTACTTATAAACTATAGACACTCAAAAACATCCATTCAGAGCCAGAGCTAGATCCCATTCTACCTGGAATAGACTTTATGAAGAACTCCGTGAGATCCTCCATGGTAGAAGGATGGTTTAAGGGAAGATGCAGTAACAT